GTATTTTCCAAACTTGACAATAATTACTCCTATTTCGGGAATAAAAAATATGGCAGTCCTATTTTGGAATTTTCAAACTGTTTTGGTCCTATTTCGGGAACTTTCCCTAGAATTTTTAGCTTAAATTTGGTATGAATTAATTAGATTTAATAAAGAACATACTCAAAAAAAAATTTAAAAACTTCCACAGGAAAGGTTCCTAAATGACCTCGGCCTGACGGGGTCTCCTATATGGGAGCATTTAGAAAATGCCGCCAAAGTAGGTTGTATATTTGAGTGCAATATAAAGTGTTTTTACTGCAAAATATTCAAATCCAATGATCGAGATTCATTCTCATTTCTCACCTAAAACCTCTTCTTATAGATCACCGACTAAAAACAATCGAGTCTAGCACCATTCTTGATTCTCCTAAAAAATTATGTACGTACCCAAAGCAACCTACAAGGAGGCCTATTGGCGTGAACGGGAGAGCGAGAAGAAAGGAGGGGATGCCAAAGAGGCAGCCTAAGCAGGTGGGCTCATAACCCTCATAGGAGTCAGCCATGGTGCTGCTGCTTTCCTTGCCTTACGGACCAGCAGACAGACTCGATAGAACCGGAACTGGAGGAGAACGAGTAATTACTATATATGCAGCTAGTAAAACATATTGGTCCGATCCGATCCTTTGTATCTATACTATGCATAAGCCAAACAAAGCCTTAAAAGATCATCGACCTGCCTATTCTGTTTTTTTTTTGTCAAAAAGGTTAAAGGAATTCACCATCATTCTTGGAGTTGAAATTTTAATAAAATTTTATTTTGATTTGAGCTGATGATGATGAGAGCGACGGGTGTGGCCGTGTGATGTACTCGGTGAAGTAATCATATACTCCTTCCCGGTATCATCTAAAAACTCAACCAAAACTGGGATGATTGATTGAGGCTTTGTTTGCGAGTGCTTGTGTTTAAGTATAAGCACTTTTTGGGAAAAAGTGATTAGTAGTAAAAGTTTGTAGTGTTTGGTAAAATAAGTGTTTTTTGTGTAATAGAAAAAGTAAAAAGTAGATTCTACACGAAAATCGAGAAAGTAAAAGTTGGTAGTATTTGGTAAAATAAGTGTTTTTTTCTTTAAAAAAACCACAAACACTTTATTTAAGCGTTTGCAAACAAGCCCTGATTGCGAAGCTTATTATGATCGGAAAGATGTCATGTGGGACGTACAAATAGTGTTGTGGATATTAATACTACGCACTATTATTTTTTTATCGTAGTATTTAATACCGCCATTATGGACTTAATATTGTATGACGGTCCATAATATTATTAAACTCATTTAAATGCTACCTGACTATTATCCGTTTTATTGGATCTCCTTTTGAATGCTATTGGACCATCTCAAGATTCTATTGGACATTTGGACTATTGTGATGGTTGTTGGGTCTTATAAAAAAAAAAATCCTTTTGTACACGTTTTTATACGCATCAGTACACGCATGTGTCTGTGAGACCTTTTTTTTGTCTGTGAAGCGCAGTCCACAGACATAAGTTGGATTGTTTTGTCTGTGAAATATTTTTCACAGACAAAAAAAAGGTCTCACAGACACATGCGTGTACTGATGGGTATAAAAACGTGTACACCAAGAATGATTCTATAAAAAATAGTGACATGGATCCCTTGGGATAAAATTGAGTGATTGAATTAATTTGGGTCATTTAAAATATTCAATTAATTTAATTATAAATTAAATCTTTAAAAAATGGACCGGTCCTATTAATTGCTCCATCTTGAGCCCATAGTGGCACAATCCAACTTTTGAATAGGACAACGAATCTAGGTAAGAAATCAGTCCATATGAATGGAAAATAGTTGTGAACCTTGTTAAAACAAGTTGTTCAGACACATTACACAAGTGCTAATTCTTTTAGCTATTAAAATACAAGCAAATGGGGCCCAAAGCCCATTTTCATCGGGGCCCAAGGGGTATGGACGAATTTGCTAAACCCAGAAGCATATTTTCACCCCCTCCACACCTATATATAGGGGTCTCAGTGAGAGAAAGAAGAGAGAACTTACCGTCGAAGAAACGCTGAAGAATTCAAGCCACGAATTTTATTAAGAATATACGAATAATCCTTTGTGATTTCGTCCATTCCTGATAAAATAAGTCCAAAAGTTTAAGAACGTTCAAAGATCTGAAGAACAAAACTCGACGATTCGAAGATCTGAAGAACAATGCTTTGAAGATTTGAAGACCTGAAGAACGAATCTTTGAAGATGTGAAGATATTTATACGAAGATTGGATAAAAATTCAATTGAAGATCAAGCCATATATCCCGGGAAGCCCTTAAACAGAAGATCAAGCCATAAAACAGTCTTTTTGTTGAAGATCATTAGATCAAGCTACTTAAAAAATCAGAGGCCCTTCAAGCTGAATTCTGCATTCAAGAAGATTTGAAGATCCGAATAACAAAGATTCGAAAATCTGAAGAACGTTCAAATATTTGAAGAATTAAAGATTTAATTTCGAATTCCTTAATTATATTTATTTCAAATTGCAAGTGAAGAATCAGAAGATTCATATTTAGAGATTGTACCCAATATTCTCATATATTATTATTTGCGATCAATTTTAAGGAAATACTTAATATTTGTTTCATATGTGCATCTCTTCTCACATGCGCAACAAGAAACTTTCCTAAGATTGGCAAAGAGATGGAGGACGACGACATCAAGGAGGAGCCCCTGGCAGTGGAGGAGGAACAATAATGCGGCAGAGATCAGTATCCCCGATGAGGAGGAGCAAGGCACCGTAGCCGGTTCTTCCGAACCACTCGAACAAGGTAACACTTCCAAAGTCAAATCTCATCTTTTAAATTTTCCTTTTACTAAGCTTAAGGATCTGTGAGTAGGCACTTGAACTCAAATATTGTGAACAAGTAGTGTGCATGGGGTTGTCAGGGGTTACGACACTGTGAGTAGGCACTTGAACTCAAGGCATCCCGCAAAGGCAGCAAGGACGAAGAGCAAGGGCACGCAAACACAAATATCGAGGTTTGCGCGCAAATGATCAACCATTTAATAATTTTGGTTATAATGCTGAGCAACATTTGGAAGTTATGTCTGAATTAATATGTGAACAAAATTTGCCTTTTATTTTCTGAAAGTCTTGCTTTATCTGTTTTGCACAAGGTTCTTTAAATTCGCAATTTCGAAACTATAGACGCAAAACAATTAAAAAGAGAAGTTGTTAAACAATATACTTTGGAAAAGGAAAATTCATTCATTTTTTGGCAAATTTTCAAGGCCGTGTGACTGTTTGTAGTGATATATTGGAAAATACGTATCATTACTTGTATTAGTTGGCTTTGACTGCACATTTTATTGATGATGATTGGCCAATGCATAATGAAGTTATCACTTTTCGAGAAATTAATGAAAAACACACCGGTGATAATATTTATTTAATCATGGAACGTATTTTAATTGAATATAATTTGCTTGATAAGGTGTTTGCTATAGGTTTTGATAATGATACTAATAATATTGATGCTATACCTAGATTGATTATATATGTTGTCCTTCAACTTTGATGAGTAGATTTTTTATCAACGTTGTGCATGCCATAATATTAATTATTTTTGAAAGACGGCTTAACCGCATTAGGAAATGCATGTGATGGAGAAAGTTAGGGGAGATATTAGACTTATTTGAGGTAGTACTAAAATTAAACTGCAATGGTGTGCTTATTTGAAATCTATATGTGTTAAGTATTGTGTTTTTCTAAAAATTTGTCCATTCGTTGGAGTAGTACTTACAAATTAATTTATGTCCTTATATTTAAGATCATTTTTCTGATTTGTTGAAAGAAACTTGTAACTATTGAGATAGACATCACGAAGAAAATTTGTAACGTGTTAGTTTATTTTCATAATGCTACTCAATTTTTTTTTTTCAAATTTATACACATACTAGTAAGTAGTAACCTACTTTTTATTGAAGCTTTTAATCTCATCAGTGCTTTCCAATAATTATCTCAAGCCCCTTACGTTCAATGTTTTTTTGATTTCATGAAAGATTTTTTGTAGAAAAATATTCTGCCTACATTCCGCCTATGCATGTTATTGCTTTCAGTCTTATTCCACGTTTCAAACTTGCTAGTTATAAAACACTTTTATAGTATTATTATAATTGTTTCGACGATGAGTTCCCTATGTACGACGATCACCCTATATACTCAATTGCAATTCAACGAGGTTAGTAATTTATTTCATAATTTATTTAATAAATTTCGTGCACAATATGCTAACGTACCTCTTCCCCATGAAATCAGTTACTTCTCCCTCTAAAGGAAAAGGTCTTTTTAAATCTACAATATCTAATCTTTGGGGGGGAGTAAATCTACTTCTACTGTTGCACAAAGCTCGAATAACAAACTTTCTCTATATCTAACATTTCGTGTTGAGTATGAGAAGGGGAATAATGAAGCCGGCAATGTCCTGACCGATTATACAACGAGATTGAGCACACAATCTCTTGAGATGATCATTTGCTTCCATGATTGGTTGAAGACCCACCATAGATTCAACAAGTTAGCATAGCACTAGCCGCCACTCAATGGAGGAAACGACAAACGACGGAAGCGGGAGTTCCAACGAATAAGAAATGCATGTAAACTATCCGTATTATAAATAAAAATTGTAAATGTCCATATTATATCCGTTATCCGTATTTTGTAGGGATTTAAGATTTTGATTTCAAATGAAGTGAAGATTCAAACAACGCAACTACAAATGTCGTGTATTTATAATTTTTCAATTTCTGTGAGATTTATGTAAATTTGTCTGAAGCATTTAATTGTACTTCAAATTTTATACATAAACACGTTTTGTTTTGTTTAATTTTTAATCGTTCAAATTTACTACAATTAATGTGTGACTAAGTTTTTTTCCGACTATCACACCGAATTCACTCAATATATTATATTTATGTCAATAATTAATTTCTTAACAATTTTCTTTTAGGAATAATCACTAATTGTTATTGATAAGTTTAGTAATGTAATAATAATAATGATAATAAAAATACTACTAAAACTAATTACAACAACAATAATATTATTATTACTAAGTCTCTCGCAACAACTATCTAGGCATCTAGCCATTCGCAGAGAAAAAAAAGTAGACATTTCAGACAGATATTTAAATTAGAAGCCTAAAAATGCACAACAAGGAGGGAAAGTGGAGTGGCATAAATTTTCAATTGACAACATCATGGACATCATCGTTGTGAGTTCCCCCTTTAACAATGAGATCGTCCAAGTTATCAGAACCCTGGATAGACAGCCCATGCTCATTTGCCAAATGCAACAAGCATATAAAGCACAGATGAGGTGATATGTCTTGGATAGACCCTGTGGCTCTGCAGTCATCTGGAAATGTTTCTAACATCTCTTTGAAAGACACAGCCATCTCTTCCTGCACCTTTAAATGTTAGTGTTATTCTACAAGAAGACCAAACCAATGAATTGATCCTTAGGTTAATACTACTACAACAACAACAACATCCAAGCCTTAGTCCCAAACGATATTGGGGTCGGCTAACATGAATTGATATATGATATCACCAAACGGAAAAGAAAGAAAATAAAGATAAAAAAGATAAGATAAAAGAGATGAATATACATATAAAAGATAAAATAAAAAGGATAAAGCAATATTTATATATAAGGATAAAAATATAAAAGAAAAAGAAAAAAAGAAGAAGAAAACAAAAAGAGGGGAAAAGATGATACAAGATCACTCCTCCACACGAATCCTTAGGTTAATAAATGTAGCAAAATCCTTAGGGCCTATTGGGTTGAAGGAATGTCATATTTCTTTGGTTGTGTTTAGTTAAAAGAGGGAATCGGGAATGTGACATTAATTTATCTGATAAGATGTTATCAACCGAACTGGTATTTTACTTCAATACCCTTTTGGAATTTATTTCCCATCATTTGCAATGGAGCCAAAGATTCTTTATTTTTTGGCTTGAGAATATGATGGAATAAAGCAAAATGGCTCACTAAACTGTCTGCGCTTCTTTGTTATGAAGCAACAGTCAGTCCATGCAATTTTGGACGCGATTTTCAATATGGGTCATCCGGAAACAGTCTCTCTGTGCTTTAATACAGGGGTAAGATTGCGTACATCCGACCCCCCCTTACCCCACCGTAGGTGGGAGCCTTTGCGGCACTGGGGTAAATGAAAATGAAAATGACCCTTTTAGAATTTATATTATGCATTAGTGTATTACTTTACTAAAATAGTCCACAATGCCTAAGACTCTAATTTTCAAAACAAATTATTCGTTGTAAATCAAATACAAAGATGAAAAAAACTTTATTCACATAATGATCTAAATATATTTATCTGTCATTTGACAAAAAATTTCAAACGTTCGCATTGATTTGTAAAAGTTGTTTTCTAATTTAAAAATAATTTGTTCAATTTTGCCAAAACATTATGAAAGCAAAACTTAAATAGACTATAACACAAATACTTTTCAAAAATTAAATATTAAATAAAAAACAATGATACTAATAAGGAGAACGAAAATGTGAGTATAATTACAAATGGACCGGAAGTTTCTGGTAATGAGATGAAGAGAAAATATGGCAAGGGAAAAAATAGTTCTGACCGAAATCGAAAGTATTTTGGAAGAAAATTAAGACATCCATAGGAAACTAAACATGGGTATCCAACGTTCTCATTGACCACATCAAATTCATGGGAGTGTAGATTTCCCAATTTTTTTCTCAAACTTGCAAACCAAACATGGATATCCAACGTTCCTTTCATCACATTCCAAATGGACCCTTGGAGTAGTGGATATTTGTAGCGGAAGTAATGGATTATTAATAATTGTAGCATAATACTTACAAGTCATGGATTTTAATTCAACAACAATAACTACTAATTTTTTGTTTTCCAAATTAAGAATATTTAACTTATTTGTAACTAGTTTTGGATAATAAAATGACAAATTGCTACATTATGAAGAAAAAAGACTCCGGACAAAAAAGATTTTAAAAAATGACTTTTATGGAGGGAGTATGAGATAGCACAATATTGTGATGCTATTAAGCATGACATATGAGGTAACCGAAGATTATTTGGCAATAGGAGTGTTGTGTTATATTGGATCACCCCAACCCATTAGTAAATGTGGACCCCTTGATTACGATATCCGGAATCAAAGGGTGAAGGAACAAGTGTTTTAGTGCAAAGAGAATGGCATATTAGAGATCAAATAAAATATAATTCACAGGCTAATTATGCCATGCCAATTCCTTCTGTCCAACCCAAGGTTCTTCAAGTTATCATAAAGCATCGACTATCTAAGTGATGACTTGAGTTTACCTGGGCTGATGTTTGAACTAGTCCTTGTATATGGTTCCAAAGTGTTTCCTTGAGTATCTGAACATCAACTTGTTTTGATGTTTTGTCATAGTGGATATCAATCTTGTTTACCTGTTTTATTAAGCAGGGAAGCAAAGGCTATAAACATTAACCGTGTCCAAGAAAAAATAAAAGATACTACATTAATACTACGTACAATTTTATCAAAAACACAATTCCAATGTTTACTCATTCCCAGTGGAAAATTAGTCAAATACCATTTACTTGTGATAATCCACAACTCCCAACAGATGCAACCAACAAACTAATAAACAACAACAAATATAAACACAACAATGTATGTGATTTGAACATGAACATGACAATAAGCTTTGCACTTCAGACGAAATTCAGGATCACCAACCTGGCGAGGTTGAGAGACTAGAGTGCTCTCATCCTCAATGTCACTACAGACACTGCCATCATCATATGCCCCACCAAAGCCACATTCACCATCATCATCCCAGGATGGCATTGTTCTTTCATGTTCATCTCTGTGCTGATTCACTTCTGCTGACAAAGAAGTATTTTGAAAAAGTGAAAAATAAGGGTTGTTAGACATTAAGCCACACAAGAAATATACATTTCGAGGTACTAAAAAACAAGGCATTCCACAGAATTTAGACTCACCAGTTTTTCTCCTTGTTTTCTTCCCAAGACACTACGAAAAGGAACACGAAACCATCACATGGTGCCCAATCTATCAAAAAGATGAACAGATTGTATACTTATCTCTCAATACGTACCGTTACATTAGGTAATAGAAATAGCTTCACAAGATCCACTGGTTGATAATGGCAATCTTCTGGAAGCAATCTATTCGCAGGCTCTCTCTTAGCCGGCAGAAGTAGAGACTTGGGGTTTTTTGGAGGATCAAAGATATGAGACAAATCTTTATCCAATGATTTTTCAAATTCAATATCGGGTTTTTCTTTTTTGCTCTTTGTTTTCTTGTCCTTCGCTTGGGGCGATCCATCTGCCTTGGCAGGTATATCTGAAACTGCAGCTTACTTTAATGTATACTTATGGAGTTTTCCTTTTTCCTTTCTTGAAGTTGGATACTACATGATATTCTAGTCATTTCAAAACATACCTTTCGCTTTTCGAAACTTCCAATGATCTGGACCAGCCCATGAATTCTCTTTTGATGAAATTCCCAAACTCAAGAACAAGTAATCATCAACTTGGTTGTGTCTATTGTCCAGCTCAGCATCATGGTCATTTATAGGTTCAACATCCTGAAAAACAGTGTGCAACTTACACCACTCAATTTTACTATCCTCTTCCAAACACATTAGTGACAAACCGAAAGTTGCAGAACCAGCAATTTTATGTAATTCACCTCCTGATGCCCAGATTCACTTTGACCAACATCATAAGTCGCTTGGTCTCCTATAATTGTTTCATCACCATCATTATCCATAGCCCACGCTCCATAAGTTTCATATGAATCATCATCATCAACCTCAGGAGCATGCTCAAATGCATCAAATTCTTGGTCTAGTGAATCTTGGGCAGAGCTGTATGCTTCAGATAGCCTCTGTGCATCTTCATCAAATTGATGAATTATATGTCTAAGGCTTGGCGATATTTCATCCTTCTTGGGCATATTTAGTACCATTTCTTCAAGGCTATCTACATATGTATAGAAGAGTGGAAAGTTAAAGCTGTGAAACTGATATTTGATAGATTATAAGCAAAATATATTACTCCACAGCATCCAAGAAATGGTGATGCAAAACCCTCTATTGCTGCAAACCTTTAACAAAAGATAAATCGGCAACCTCTGGTCCTGCAGATTGAATTGTATTAGGGGAACATTTGCAAGGTACTTCTGATGAATCAAAAAGGACCCGACAGAGCCCATAGACTCCTAAGTTATTCAGCAAGAGACCCCTGGCACCGCCTTCATCAAACTGAGCAGATGTCTGGTGGTAAAGAGGGTCTACAGCAAAGGCAACTAGAGAAAAAACACAAATTGAGTTATCATAAATGGTGAAATGGAAATTTCAGAATAAAGAGTGGAGTGCCTTACATTACAGATAGATTAATATAGGAATGCACTCACCGTCAAATTTCTTTGTATTGAGAGTCTCAAATGATGACTCCAATGTTGATATGGTTGATGACTGCATTTATGCACTAACAGTGCTTAGAAATGTCAACCCAGTCTGTGGACTGTGAATATCAAAAGAGGGTGAAAAGTATAAACCTTTTTTGGTTTTTCTTTCTTTGCATTGCCTGTCGGTGGTTCCCTATCATTAAAGGCATCCTCCACAACGGGATCTTTACATGCACAGAAAATTTTTGAGTGTGAAGCACCATGCATATAAAAGTAGGTAACTTATTAACAGCACACTCCTACGAACTAAAAAAATAAGACCAGAACTTTACAAAAGTAAAAATATCACCATAACTATGACTTTGATATTCAGAATAGAAGTATGGAATGTTAAATTGTTGATGAATAGATAAGCTCCGATGTGTAACTTTTTGTGCTGATTGAGGATAACAAACAGCAGGATTCAGAACGAAAATGAAAAGTTGAAACAAATGCCAAAAGACAGATGATAGGGGTTAGGAAGGAGTCAAAAGACAAACTATCCATATTTAGATAGTTAGATATCATCTTAACATAGTACATGAAGAAGAAGAATAAATTGTAGCACCACTCAGTTAGTTGTAATGAACACTTCACTAGATGGGATATGATGAATTCCTAGTCAGTTATTCTTTTAGAAGATCCACTTCTCTCATGCGGTTTATACAAATATATTATATATTACTTGAGTTTCCAACACTCCGTATGAAATAAAATAAGCAAGGCAACTGTAATACCTCGTTCATTGTCTTGCCCAACCCGATTAATTCCACCAAGGACTTTATATGCCTCAGAGTGAACTGAATCCACCCTCATGGAATAAATCTTAACACCTGCTTCAAGTGTACAGCTTGCCTAAAAGTGGAAATGTGAATAACATGAACACCATGAAATGTGTGTAACGCAAAGCAAGCCAAGGGATAAAGGATGTGCGGATTATAAGACTTTCAAATAATAATCATGAACCATTTTTCTAGCACTTTCACAACCTGTCTGGTTCTAAGAATCAGCAATATGAATTCTTAAAACAATTAAACTATGAGATTGGGTATTCAAACACATTAATGACACCAATGGCTTATTGAATTTAAATGATGTAATAAACAACTTTGACCAAGTTGATAATTCCAGCATAAACAAGCATGTATATCAAAACTAACCTTTTGAAAATTAGTCTCGTCATCCTTTTCTTCCTCTGCTTTAATTATATCTCCAAGATGGTCTATCAGACCCAGCTCCCAAGTATTCTTTTGATTAATTTTCTGCAACAAAAATTGTCCTTACTCAAAACAAGTTTGCAGATATGTGACACAATAAAAGTGTGTGCAGGCAGAAAAGAATACATTTTCGCTTGCAAGCTTGATGCAGTTTTGGAAGAGCTCGAAGATTTGACTCTGGTCAAGCCAAGGATCAGCAGCCGGCGTATGAGCAAGGCTGACCCTCTTGCGACGTATGGCGGCCGCCCTGGCTGCGCGCGCTTGAGCACGTTCGAAATTATCGTCATTTGAGCCAAGGAAGAACGGACTAGGTGGAGAAAACGCTGCTCTCGGTTTCAGGTTAGGGCTTAGGTTTTCGGCCATGCCACGGCTTCCTGGAAATTAGAGAAACCGCACAAAATCTATCTGAATTATGGAGTATGGACGAAAGAGTGAAGTTGAGGAAAGACTCCCTCTCTGCGTCAGATCTTTGGCTAAGAACTTTTGAGTGAGAAGTTGTGGTGAAAATGGAGGCCAGTGTTTTCCCTCGGTTTGAATTTCAAATTTTGTCACTCCGTATTGCTATCTGGCTTGATCAATTCGGTCATTAGCTTCTTTCCGAGTCAACTCGGTCGTACCGGTTCAACATTCGAAACAGTTCAAAACTGTAAACTCTATCAAAGTTCTAACTAAGGGTGGACATAAAACTCGAATCGAATGGTAATGGTACCGAACTGAATACCGGGTATTTAAATGGTTCTATAGATTTGTGTCCCGTACCGAAATCGTACCGTTTGAAACGGGTACGAGACCAGTCCAAGATTTTGAGAATCGAAAAATACCGGACCGAACCGTTCAAAAATAATGCATTTGATTTTTTTTATATTTTTTCTATACCAATAGATCTCTTTTATAGACCAACCATTTAGAGCCCAAGTATATATTCATGTGTCCCTAAAATAGCTAAAAGTGTTTATATATATATATATATATTGCTATTTTTTCTTTTTAGATAATTTATGTTATATTTTGGAATGTATTGATAGAATTTTAAAATTTTAGAAATCATTAATGACTATTCATTTCAAATAATGTAGTGTACATGCATGACTTTTTATTGTATCATGTTTGTGCAATTTTACAACTTAATTAATATCGTTTAAATTTTAGTTCTCAAATTTCAACTATAAATTAAATTAGAAATACGGAATAATATTTAACTTAGAAGAAGAAGAAGAGGAGGAGGAGGAGGAGGAGGAGGAGGAGGAAGAGGAGGAAGAGGAAGCGGAAGAGTACTATGTTTGGATGTCCCCATTTAAATGCCCCATTCCTTATTAGGAAGGTTAAGAATAAGTGTAATGACAAATATATCCCCACTTTAAATATGAAGTTACTAATATATCCATCCTTTCTTCTGTCTGATACCATTCTACTCCGTATATTTAATCGTATACTCCGTATTTAATCTCCCAGAACCCTATCACATCATCACCGCCTTCTCTCTAAACTTATCGTCTCCACCTCCTTTCATCTCCAATCAACCTGATTCATCTCCCTAAAGTCATCGTCTCCAACGCCGTTCCTTTCCATAACCCAATTATGAGTTTCCATTCTTCCAAATCTCTTAACTTAGAAGACTTGGTAGTTGAAGATACTGAAGTCCTGGACTTGATAATTCCAGATATTGAAGAACAACTTGATTTCGTGCCTGAAACAGAAGAAAAAAAACAAGAAGAAGAAGAAGATGAAGAATCAACACCCGATTCTTCACCGACTCTCGATGTTGAAGTTCGCAGGGAGTATGTGTACGTTACTCCTACTTGTTGGCTTGAGAAATTTGTGAATACGTACATGTTACCTGGATGGGATAAAAATTTACCAAAGTATAGGTAAAATTCTGAATTGTGTTCTCCTTAATTTGATGTCACTTTTTGTGGTTTTGAGTTTTTGATTAGTTCCTGAGATTTTTTTTATTTTTACTCTTTAGTAGTCTTGGAATTAATCTTTTGAATTTCTGAAAAGTCCTTTTTCTAATTTGTTATTTGTTCATCACAGTAAGGAAAAATGAAAATTGGATTTTTATTTGATCTCAGTTTTTGTGGTTTTGAGTTATTGATTAGTTCCTGGGATTTTTAATTTTTACTCTTTAGTAGTCTTGGAATTAATCTTGTAAATTTGTGAAATGTCCTCTCTCTAATTTGTTGTTTTTTCATCACAGTAAGGAAAAATGACTCCCTGAATTTTTAATTTGCTGGGAATTACTCCTAGATTTTTAATTTGCTGATTTTTGTTCCTAATAAACATTAAGATGAGTACATTGGTTGTTAAAAGTCAGTCCTGCATTGTTTTTTTGCTCAAGTCTCTTCCTATTCAACATTAAAATGATTATAATACTTGCTGAAAATCACTTTTGTATTTTTGGCTCTAACCTTTTCCTATATACATTGAGATGATTACACAATTGTTGTTGAAAATCACTCCTGCATTTAAATATGCTTAAATGTCTTCCTATTATACAATACAATTGACTTCTTATTAAACATTGAGATATATACAATAGTTGCTAAAAGATCATTATATTCCTGCACTTTTAAACATTAGAATAATGTAGACCAATAATCTGCCACATTCATTGGTGCACTCCTGCATTACTAAACATTAAGTATTTTACACAAAAACATTCATAGGATGTTTCTAGGCATTGCAATCTTCCTACTACATCTTGAGAAGGGGTATTAGGATAGTACAATCAAAATAGTCGAAATGTATTTCCATTTCGTTTGTTCAGTTAGTTAGAGTTAGTTAATTGGTTACTTCTGAAACTTTGTGAAGATGTAGTAGGAAGATTGCAATGCCTAGAAACATCCTATGAATGTTTTTGTGTAAAATACTTAATGTTTAGTAATGCAGGAGTGCACCAATGAATGTGGCAGATTATTGGTCTACATTATTCTAATGTTTAAAAGTGCAGGAATATAATGATTTTTTAGCAACTATTGTATTTATCTCAATGTTTAATAGGAAGTCAATTGTATTGTATAAAGAATATGGACCGTATTTTCAATATGCAATACAACTCAAATGAAAGAATTATCTATGAGTTCATAAGTTCGGCTAGTTTTGAGAGCAATGAGGATGATCTTAGAGATGATACACTCTCGTTTCGTTTGCTTAACCAAGAATATTCAATAACGAAACTTGAATTTGCCGAACATTTTGACATTCCCGTCCCCTATGAGAGAGAGATTTCGGACAACACCGTGATGGGTCATGCACTTTGGACCAAAATGACCGGAGAGGTGAACTTTAGCTCCTCCCAACTATACATAAGCCATGTTCACCATCCAATTCTAAGGATATTTTTAAATTTTTTGGCTAATTGTATACTTGGGCGACTCAACAACCATCACACTAGGATGGGGGACGTGTGTTTGATGACCACGGTTTTATTCCGTCGTGCTGTGGATTTTAATCTGTGTAATTTGATGTGGGCACACCTCAAGAAAGAAACCTTTGCGAAAGGCCCAATTGTGTTGGGTGGGGTGATTATGCACTTGGCAACAAAGTCTGGGTATACGGACAACTCTCCTATACCCGACTATTGTTTGATGAACATCACTTGGTTAGGCAACTCGGGTTGTGCTACTTTTTCTCACACGGTGTATGGGGAAGACCAACCCCGACATGTATACAATTGGCTCATACACCCTAAACCTGTAAGACATTACCCCTTGCCTAACCCGAACCTCCCCAAACTCCATTACAACAGAGATGTGCCCCATTACTTATTCCCACACCTCCTCCCACCACACCTACAAGAACCTCAAGCCCCCCCCCCCCCCCCCCCCCCGAAAACCAACCCAACCAAGAACCTCAACCCGAGCAACATGAACCCGAGGCTTTACTTCACCACATTCCCCCACAAAACCAAGTCCCTCCACCACCCAATTACTTACAACAACTACTTGAAGGATTCAACAAAGTTACCAATGAAGTTGGAAGATATCGGGAGGAACAAAGGGCGGGATTTCAAATACTTGAGGAGCAACGGGCCGAAGACAACCGAAGGTACGAAGAAGATCAACGTATGTCACGCCCCGGACCTAACCGGACACGTCAACAACCCGCCGTACAGTACGAATAGTCAACCGCAGTCCAACACATCCATACTATACAAGGCGTCTGGAATATCATTCACACATAGTACATCCATAAACAAACATAATGTAAAATATTCATTTAAAGCAGCGGAAACATTCAATACAAGTGTTCATGCCACACCTTGGCAAACATGGGCTACAAGCCCCCAAATAAATATTTAAAAATAATATCCATGAGCATTAATTAATTAGTTTGTAAAAATGGAAACGGAGGAAGCACGAACCACGTCTCCTCTCCTTGGATCCTCCCGAAAGCAACCTTCAAGTTCTACCTGAAACTGTGAGGTGGCCTCCCCCGTGAAGGGGAGGTCAGTACTTGGAAGCATTTGACAAGTACAATGACAACTATACTAAGTATAATCAAAGTTTCAATTTCCAAGACCCTCAATCTAGGATGTTATTATTTTATAATCAACTCACGTTCCTTCATGCTAGAGCTCGGCTCATAGTCATACTAATTTGTGCTAGAGCTCGGCTCATAGTCACACTACGTTTTGCTAGAGCTCGGCTCATAGTCATACTACATTTTTGCTAGAGCTCGGCTCATAGTCATACTACATTTTGCTAGAGCTCGGCTCATAGTCATACTACATTTGCTAGAGCTCGGCTCATAGTCATACTACCACGTGCTAGAGCTCGGCTCATAGTCACGTCATCTAATCCTAAACAATTTCTTAGTCTAGGCTCCATCCATTTGAGTAACCCTTAAGGCTTACACCTAATGTAACTTGGGTTCATAAAGTTCACCTTAAAGATATCCTTTAAGGTTACTTTGCTCCAATATCTTGGAATTATCACCAAAGGCTATTGAACTATCATTTCCGACTAGTAATTCTATACTAGTCGTTTAATCTTAATATATCCAATGCAAATTCATAATAGTTCGTATATTTCAATTTAATTCCACCTTTAAGTATAGTTTGGCTTCAATATCAAAACATCATTTTTATCCTTCCATGACTTCTTTACATGAGGTAAAAGTATATTTATCACAATGAACATTCATGGTTAATACATCTATCATGCCATTTTATTCATAACACATAATCATACACAATTTATTCATAATTTGTATATTATGCACTTTCACTTACAAACAATATTAATTTCATTTAGGCACTTTTTATCATTAATAAACCATGCCAAACACATTTAATTCATTTAGGTAATCTCATGAAATTAACCCAATAATTATAAGCAATATAGTCGGTCATCCTCACCTTAAGTGAGCTTACGCGCGTTCTACGCTTCCCGATTGAACTTTGACTAATTCCGGCGAACTTTGACCAACTCCGGTGAAACTCCGGTGAAGCTTAAAAATACTTTAATCAAGTTCCTAACAAGGTTTTAACATCATAAAACCTTAATCAATACAAATAACCTCTAAAAGGTTATTTTCTGGTAAACATGTCGGTTTGGCTTCTA